ATAAAGATGAAGGGTCAATGTTGTAAGTTGGAGGACCAAAATTGACAAAAAAGGTACCACTTTACTGTTAAAACTTTTCATAACTTTAATATATATAATAATTAATATATTAATTTTTTTTTTACATATTGAAAGAGAGTATATCCCCACTCAATTCATTTTGGCACCCAGTAATTTGGATTTTTCAAAAAAACATTAGCTCTCTTCACCCTCTTATCTATTCTAGTTTACTCCCATTTTGTCTCCCTTTTCTAACCTAGCCACACAAGAAGTTTTCTTGCCCTATTCACCACCACAACCACGGCCTTGTTCCCCATGATGTCGTTGTCGGAGTGAGCATTGGCCACCATGCTCGGTCCTGACATTTTCGAGGCCTTATGCAAAAATCAAAATGAGACCCCATAATTTTTTTTTTGTAAAATATTATAAGTAATTTTGTTATCATTAAATTCAAAACATAAAGTTGCTCACAAACATCTAGTCATTTCACTACCATAACATCATGTTTTCACTCATTAGTAATAAGTTGTAATTGTGACCAGAAACTTTTAGAAAAAATATAAACATTCAATGGGTTATTCTTTTCTAAACATCGACCTTTAACATTTTTTAAAATAAATTCATGTATTACACTTTCATAACCAATATTATAAAGATATTCATTCTCAATTAAATTAAAGCCAAAGCGTTAAATATCTCTTGAGACATGGTCAAGTGCAAATAATATTTTAAAAACTTTAGTTTTGAAATGCTTATTTCCGTTGATGCAACTGCAATGAGAACAATTAACAATATTTTGTATGTTAGACAAGAAATATGATAAGTCTTTATCATTTTTAAGAAATTTAGTATTCCATTAGTTATATTATTTTCAACTGGTAAATCTTTTTTTTTTCTAACATTCCAATTCGTTGGATAAATCATCAACACTGATGTATGAGATATGACCACTTTTCAAGATTTTTGCAAACTTATTAATATTTTAGTGACTTTAACTGTTTTGTTGTTAATAAGAAACAAAAAATATCTTCATATTGTTTGTGTTGTTCAAACTTTCACTCCAATGTTGAATCATTAATGACTCATGAGGTGAAAGTTTATATAGTTATTTAGTTCAGATGACCCAACGTCACTCTCGTTATTTTTTTAATTCTTCTTTTATTATTTTTCTCAACAAACACCGGATCATTTCCTAAATCATAAGTTATAGAACTACGCATTGTCTCAAATTGAAGCTGTTTGCTCAAGTTATTTACTTTAGCCAAAATATAATACCATATAACCATACCAATTATAAAATCAAATATGCCAAGTTCATATTCTTCTAGCCAAGTAACTTCACTTTTGATATATATATATATATATATATATATATATATATATATATATATATATATATATATATGAACAAGTTTATACAAAGCTTCTATTATTTTATTTCGGTCCCCCAAATCAAAAGTTCAAGCTCCGTCACTGATTTCAGGAGCTTGAGCCATTATTGCTTTCATATTTTCAATAATAATTTTCCACCTTGTAGTTGACAACGATTTTAAAATAGGACTTTGTTGGGCAAAGTGTCTTTCAAAATTTATGATTAGATTTTTTGTATTTGCTTTTTTTTTTTAGGTATAATGTCTTTTACAAGATATGAAATTGTTTGCTACAATTTATATTAGAAACATGTTTGTAGTTTTCTTTGGATGAAGACCACTGCCGCCAGTTTTTTTTATTTTATTTTATTTTATTTTTTTAAAGCTTGTTTGTTTTAACTTTTAATTGTTAATCGTTGTTAATCAGTTGGGATAGTTAATGGAGATTTAGTATTTATTAATAGTATGATTATTTTACTAGAACAATGGAAATATAGCTTAAATGTTTATACCTATTTACATATTCATTCTTTTGAGCCCCTCCATGTTCATCTACATATACAAATATACAATAAGAAGTCTAAGATGGTCTAAAGGAGGTAAGTGATGCAGTGAAGTATAGAATTGGCTAAACATATTCCAAATGCAAGGTTGTAATGCTATTGTCTTACTAATTTATTTTATTAATTATATAAATATATAATTGATACCCCTTACAATTCTGTCCGGCTCCGCCGCGGCCTAGGTGCCACCTAATAGCAATGTCGAGTCTAGAATACAAAACAATGTGGTTCAAATTTGAAGGGACAACGTTTCTAATGTTTAGTTGTATTGGTTATCTTTTATTGTATTATATCTTAAGTAAACTGGACATTTGGGATTTTTGGCTATTGAAATAAAAATAATCACTTTAAAAATCTTGATTTTTATATAGATCTTTTTGAGAAAAACATTAAGACAGGTCATCTCAAATATTTAAAATATTTAAGATAGGTCCTAATTAATTTTATATACATTGTTACTAAATTATTTTATTATAGGTACCTAAAAGCTATAGCCTCTCCACTGCCTAGTAGGCCATCTACGACAATTTATATATACAACACGGGAGGGCAGTGTAGGGTAGTAGAAAAGAAACAAGATTACCTCTGGAAACAAATTTTGCACATAACACAGGGCAGATATGTGATTTAATTCTTCTTATGAATTGATATCTAGATACAGATTGTTGTGTTCAAGGGCAACTGTCTGAATTCCTTTTATCCACTTCTAGTGACAAATATCACACATGAAAAAGACCTTGTATGGAAGCATCAATTAACCACTATATTGAGGATTGTGGAGTTGATGAAAGTTCGTAGAACAAAGATTACAGGCCTTTCACATAAAGACGTATTAAATATATTCAAACAAAAAAAAATATTTGTTTATCTTGTTGGGGTTGAAACACACTTTTATTCAGAACTAGAACAAAAGAGAAGAGCTTACACGCTCAATATTAC